AGAAACATTTGCAATCAGTCATTGCCAGGGATAGTCCCCCTGTATCTTGTTCTGCTGTGGTAAATCAAATGCTCCCAAAGTGTCTGTATAATCAGTGAAATCAGGTTGTGAAGGAAAACTAGATCTGGCCCAGTCTCGTCTCAAGACAGGGCTTGTGCTGGGCAAGAGGCTGTCTTCTGCTTGAAGACATGAAGTTCAGAAGAAGGTAATCAAGTCCCTGGAGAAAGAAGGCAGGGAGTGCAGAGGGAAGAATGATTCTGAGCATCCCTAAAAACAAGACTTATGGGACTGGTCAGTAAGAACGAAGGCAACAATACAGTAGTAAGGTATTGAAACCTATGGGGAGCCAGAGAGATAGGTGGAATAGTCATCTGGGGCAGAGGGAGAGCTGCCTTATAGGTGTGAGTGGAGCCATACCATGAAGGAGCAGAAGCAGCCCTACATGGTGGCCTTGGAAGCCTTCAGCAGTAGCATTGTTGTGACCACACAGTGACCTGTCTTTACAGGCAAGTCAACCCTGATTGTTGTGTCATGCGCACAATATAAGTGGTTTGAGGAGTGGAAAGATGAGCGGGCTGCTAAGAGGTGTGTGGAGTACGAGGGCCTCAAAGACACTTTTGTGGACTCCATTATGGAGACCGTCTTCAAGCTCTACCCAGCCATCAAGGACAAGGTAAGGAAGCCACTGTTTGTAATGCACATTCACACACTCTTCAAGTGCTGAAAACCCAGTTGTAGGATGAGATGCAAAGCGCAAAAAAGGACCTCAAACTAGTCCTTCCCTTTGCACTGAGGAGGATCACGTGTCTAGACTATCTCTGGCAGATGTTTGTCCAACATACTTCTGGATAAAGACTGCAAGGCTACTAATGTGGGAAAGGACAATACTGAACTCCAGGGTTTGACCCAAGATGCTTGCATGACTTCACTGCTCACCATTTCTCATGCAGGACAGTGAGCAGGGGACTCCTCTGAACCTCACTGCAAGGGAGCTCATTCAAGGCATGGACCTCTTCAGGGATGAGACTAGAAAGCAACCAGAGAGAAAGATCCCCACTTCTGTGGGAGCACCCTTGGGGCCATAGCTGAATAGGATTGCATTGCTGAGGAAACAGTGTAAAACTCTGTTTCCCGCTGGCACTGCCATCTCTTTGCAACCTGAACTGATTTCACAGACTCCTTTTTGCTTGCATTATTTTTTTTTTCATCCTTGAAAGTACGGTGCATTATTTTTAAGGCCCAAAGGTGCCATCTGCTGGGGAAAACTGCCTGGGTTTGAAAGCCTGCTCTAAATTGTGACTGCCCATTTCACCATGGAAGGGAAATGAAGTGGTGGACCCCAGCCAATTCTTATGGCCTTTTGAGATGGGGTCAGACATTCTCCTAACTCCACAGCTACTTAAATGCCCCTTCCAAAGCCAGCCTGGCAAAGCTGCAGGTGTTCTCATGCTGAAAGGAAGCCCTGAAAGGTGCCAGGGCCATCTCAGACATTCGGAAAATGAGGTCAGCAGGGGAAAAGTGAGGAGGAGGGAAGTCAAAGCATTAAATGGAAACTGCACTGTTAAGTCAGCCAGCTGACCTGCAGCAGTAGGGTGCCCTGGCATTAAACAAAATGAGCTCTTTTGAGCAAGAGCGGCTCTTCAGCTCTTTACAGGCATCCAGGATTTTCCGTCTCCCAGGAGCGGCTTTTTTCTCCACAAGTTGTACCCTGTCCTCGTGTCTGCTGTGGCTCACCCATGACTTTGTCTTCAACAGATTGAGTACGTATCAGCTGGGACCCCGCTCACAAACCAGCACTATCTGCTTGCTCCCAAAGGCGAGATGTATGGAGTCGATCATGGCCTTTCGCGCCTGCAGGCTGAGGTCATAGCCACCATGCGCTCTCAGACCCCGATCCCAAATCTTTACTTGACGGGTAGGAGGCTTGGTGAGCAGGCCTTTGGCTCTCGCTCATCATCCTGAGCCCTGCTGCTGGGTTGTACTCTGGTTCCTTGCTCTCCCCTAGCATAGCAGTTCTTCCCCATGTCTTCACCATTTCTTCTGCAGGACAATGAGGAGGTGACTCCTCTGGACCCTCTCCAACGAAGCTCACTAGAGATGAGACTAGAGCAATCAGAGAGGAAGATCCCCACTTCTGGGGGAATCCAATGCAGAATTTCTAAAGTCAGTCTTGCAACCCTGCAAATGCTTTGCCCAATGGAGTCTGGGGTCCAGTGTGCCAGCAGTGCTAGGGAGCAGCAGAGAATAGACGATGCAGTGTAAAGAGAGAGGAATTGAGCAGAAGCTTCCCTGCCACCAGTTTGAACTGTGCTTGCTAGCTCCTTCTGCATCCTAGACAGACAGCTGCAGAGCCAAGTACTGCAGCCCCCTGCATACAGAGCCCCTCGCATGCTACTAATCGCCTACACCAGCCTCAGGCAGGATACATCAACTTGGGGCTGCTCATCATCCCTCCAAATGCATTTCAGGTGCAAATGAGTCAGGTGTCCAAGGTCCTCTCTGCTAGCTTACCAGGCTTTCACACAACCCTGCTTGGGCAGCTCAGAGTCAGAGGCTGGGAAGGAAGCTATGATGACATCTCCTTGTTTTCCAGGGCAGGACGTCTTTTTCTGTGGCCTCGTAGGAGCCTTGTACGGAGCCATCCTGTGCGCCAGCTCTGTCCTGCAGCGCAACCTGTTCTTGGATCTGATACAGCTGACCAAAGCCGTTCAAGCAAAAGACTCCAAGAAGAATGATTGAGCTACTTAGGCCTAGTCATCCAGAGCCCTTCTGCCCCATGGTCCTGTCCTCACCCAGGTACAGCAGCCTGGCAGCTGGTTATTTCCCATGGTTAGCAGCAGCGCCCTTTATGTCTTTTGATGTGGATCAAAAAAGCAAATAAAAGGCAGAGAAAGAAGGTGATGGTGCATGGTACCTGCAGCCGCTCCCTCGTTATCTACCAACAGCTTGTGGGTTTGCTTGACCCTTGGTCCTTCATGTCTCCCCGCCCCAGCTCTGCCCATCACTAGCTGGAAGCAATAGGAGCAAGATCCAAAGCCAGCAACCTTTATCATCTTCCCACTAGGCAGCTGCTCCATGAATCCAGGCACTGGGGCAGGTGCATCATCTAATGTAGCTCATGATGGTCACCCACACCAGTGGAGTCCTCTCAGACTGGTTCTGAGCAGCCATTTTACTTATGAGCACAATCTCTTTCCTTTCCCTACTGCAGTCCCTCTTGCTTTCCCCTCTGCTGGGAAGTTAAAACCAAGGTCCTTGTCACATCCAGGAATATCACTGAACTTTCTGTATCAGGATTTGATCACTTCTAGGAAAGTCCCTATCCCCACTCAAGCCCACCTGTACCCCCTTCCATTAGAACAAACCTGAGCCTCACAGTTGGTTGGATTCTAACCCCATGCATGAAAAGGGAAAGGAGAGGGGTGGGATTTTGCCTACATACAGAGCCAACCAGGTCAGTTAAACTGGTGCCTAACCAGTTCTGGTTGCATTTTCCCTAGAGTTTAGCAGAAGTAGATGTGTTACTCAGTGGGGCAAAGCTTCTGCTGCATAATTCAGGGCCACAGAAGCACACAAAGCCTTACACCACATCGCAGTCCTGCCATCCCTACAAGAGGTCAACTGATCTGGACCTGATTTAAGAGTAGCTATACAGAGCACTAGCAGTTTACATCAGTGGAACAATTCTAGGTACAGGCCAAGCCTTGTTAGACCCTTTCTAGGGTCACAGCTGCACCAGCCTGTGAAAACCAGCTTCCCTCAGATGCCAGTTCTTGCAATTTGACAAGTTTCATCTGGCATTTCTAAAAGCCCCAGCACCAGGAGGCAGCAGGTAAAAGCTTCTGCTTGCACCAAATAGAAAGGTTTCTAGTCCTCTCCATGGCAAATTACAAGCATGAAGATCTGAGCCCTTGCAAAAAGCAAAGCAAACAAACCAAGAATTAAAAAAAACTTCATGATTTAAGATAACTCTGGTGTCAGGGGGGTTCTGAACAATTGAGGCTGGCAAGGAAGTAGAGCATACCTCAGAGATGAAAACTGGCAGAAGTACATACACAGGTGCACACGCACACACACACTTTTTTCTGCCCTTTGGGCAAAAATATCAGCAGATGCCTATGGAAAAACTGCTAAAGGATCAGTAGGTTTATTGAACCCCCAGGGTTAAAGAGAGCAGTTAAGGAAGATAAGGATAATGGACCAACTTGGTGATTACTTCAGGGAAACCGAGGGAAGTGTGACTTTTGGACCTTGCCATGATGTGAAGGTACAGTCAGGCTGTGGGAAGCTGGGAGAACCCACACATTTAAAAAGCAGTCAGGTCAGGTTCATATGTAAAGCAGGGAGCAACCAGTATCTAATCACGCTGAAATCAGCTACTCCAGCAGTAAAGGGGCGGGGGGGGGAAGGAAAGGTAGGAATTCTGCTTCCTTCTGCCAACGTGTCTCTAAACAGCCTCTAATCTTAGAATTGCATGCTATTCCCCCTGCTGAAGACTGACGCAGGTGGCAAGAGACAGGAGTATCCCCCTACCTTATATGTGCTTCACTTTGCAGCTGAAGCCCTGGATATATGGATATAGGAACAGCCCTTCTATGGGGGGTGCCTGATACTTGCCATTATAAATTGTGCTTAGGTTTTCCCTTCGAGAAGCTGCATTAGGTTGCTGCATTGCCCCTGCTCACAGGGTGGCTGGCAGGTGTTTGAGAGGCTAGTGGGTGGAAAAAGAAGAAAACTCTTCATTGGAGGCTTAGCCCCGTGTCGCCAGTCCCAAGAGCTACAGGTGCTGTGCAGACAGACCTCCCTCTGCATGAAGATATCTGCAGGGATATCTGTTTCAATGCCAGGGGCTTCTGCCTCTCTTCAGACACCCACTGTGGTCATTAGGATACTTTCTGTTTTCAGCCTGGCTTTGGTGTGCCATAAGCAAATCACCCTGGGGCCAAAACCGTGCCTTTTGTCCACTCTGCAAACAGAGATTAGTATCACGTCAACAGGCCACTAGCAGGGATGGGACCTGTACACCCACAGCAAAGATCTGTACCACTCGAATTGATGCATTAACCCACCAGGAGAAGCCCTATGTTGGGGTAGCGTCTAGTAGGATCACCGCTGCAGTGTATCAAACACCTCAGTGACCAGCAGGGGACACATCATGCCTCTGCCAACTTGTTCCAAGCTAGTTGCTGACTCCAGCAGCTGTTTTATGGCAACATTTAACTCAAAGGTCAGCGATGCAATCCCCATAACTCAAGGCACAGAGGACCCCAGGCTCAAGCTTACAAGGAACAGGTCCTCCTCTGTCTTTATTGTAGCCATTCACTGAGAACAGATGCAGCCAGGCAGGGAGAGACATGTTTGCACTGAGTCACCTAGCAGAGCAGGATATGCCACCCAAGAAATACTCCACCCTCCTGCTGTCCCTGATCAACAGTACAGAAGACATAAGTGGAAACAGCCAGCTGCACCTGCTGTAGTACTGCACCCGAGGAGCTGGCCCCAGCTGAGTGCTATCTGCCAGAGTTTGCAGCATGTCAGTGCATAAGAGCCGGGCGGTCGTGATTGTGAACGATGATTTCTCCAGCAGTGGCTCTGAGGAGCCCCTCGCTCGCAGAAGGGGGGCCCGGAGGGAGGCAGAGAAGCTGTCCCAAGTATTATCCAGCCTCAACTACACCGTGCACCTGTACAAAAACCAGACCGCCAAGAAGATAGAAGAGATTTACCAACAAGGTATGTAGCCTGGCTTTGCGTCTGACAGTGCCCCCAAAACCAGAGCAGCAGGGGCTTGGAGAGTCTGGGGCCTGGGGAAGTTGCTACACATGGGAACAGAAACTGCTTGATGCTCTGCCATTTTCTCTGGAGCTGCCAGAGCCCCCACAGCACAAGCCACTTGTAGCCCCCAGGCCCTGGGGAATGTATATATGACCCCCACCTCTCCTGGTCCTACCCCCAGGAGACACACAGCTCTGAAGCATGGAGGGCAGCAGTCAGGGGTGACCAGAGCATTGGAAAACAGCAAGGGAAAGACTCCTGGATTCAGAAACTCTGCTTGCCTTCCCCCTCAGCATCCACAGTCAGCTGCTGTGCGGGATGGGAGACTGGGCTAGATGGAATATGGGCTGACCCAGTAACTGGCAGTTCTTATGTCATGTAATTACCCCAGGGCAATCAGGCAGGGCCTGTGAGGCTTTAAGTGTGTCCTTCAAGGGGCACCATGAACAGTCCAGGAAAAGGGATGAGGCACTGCTAAGAACCAACAGCTGCTTGCAGCTTCCTTAGTTCTGTCGTACTGTAGAGTATCCCCAAGGGCAATTAGGGATCCCCAGAGTACAGTGCCCTCCAGCTGCCTCCTGTCCGTGCCCTGACCCGCAAAACACAGGCTGCAGGCAAGGAAGGTGCAGGAGCCAGCTGCAACAGTGGTGATCCCCCCAGCACACCAGGCAGGAACTTCTGCAAAGGTAGGAGAGAGGACCAAGGCATTGATTGCAGCTCTGGTTAACTCAGGGGTACTGGTTTTTGGCTCCTAGGCTGAAAGTGTGCCAGCCACCTTGCCTTCCACCAGCTACAGCATCTCACCTGGGCAATCCTACTTTGTCATCAACAATAAGGCTGAGCCAGAGCAGCTCTCAGACAGACTCCCAGCCTTGATTTAAAGACTGCCTTGCCCCTGGATAAATTGCTGCTATGCCTCATTACCCTGTTAATCCTGGCATTACTGTCAGTCCATCCATCTCTGTTGCCAGCCCCTGGAACTCACCTGGCCGCTGCCTGATTAGAGAAAGCTCTGTCATCAGATTCTTTGTGGCAGCACTGATAACGACTTCAGGCTTCTCTGTTCAGCATCAATTTGGCCTTTTTTCTACAAAACCAGAGCCCCTTGTGATCCCAAATGCATTTGTCTGCATGACAGCTCTTTAAGCAGAGCACTGCTAATGGGCCCTTAGCAGGGAACTGAAATGTAAAGATCGAGTTCTGTGCCTGAGATCAAGAGATGGGATTTGAAACCTGGTCTCTTACGTGGCTGAAGCTAATATTTTACCCACCAAACTATCCTTTTCCACACTGGGTACCACATAGGCAACCCAAGCCCCTCCTGTTGCTAGGTCTGCCCTGATGAACTGGTGCTCTAATCTGATGTACCTTTGCAGAGAGCCAAGAAGAGCACGGCGATTACTTTGTGAGCATCCTGTCCAGCCATGGAGAGGAAGGGGTCATCTATGGCTCGGAAGGCAAACCGGTCAAACTGACCCAGATTTTCCAGATCTTATCCCTGCAGAGATCCTCAGCACTGGCTGGAAAGCCCAAGCTCTTCTTTATACAGGTACCACCCTACGGGGTCAACCCCAGGGTCCAGGCAGTCCCAGGGCCCTTAACAGATGCTGCAGAGAGATGCAAGATCCCTACAGTAGCAGATGGGAGGGTCAGGAAAGAGGGAGAGAAGGAGCTGGTCTTCTCCCCCTCACACCACCACATTAGGTCCCTATAGCTTGTACCCTGAAGCGCAAGGCTCATATCCCTTCCAGTATCTGCCACCATTCATTACAACTGGCTGTGCAATTCCTGTGATCCCAGGTCTTCACCTCAACACTTTCTTGTGGCAGCAAGTCCCACAGCAGTGATGTGCTGTGTGACAAGCATTTTGTGCCTTGTAGGGGACTTCCCTTTCATTTGCGTCTTAGTGCCAGCACAGGAAGTGCTCCTGCTCCCATTTCTCCAAGCCAGGCATGAGTTATTGCATCTCCTTTTCTTTAAGAGAAATGTCCCCAGTCTCTTCAAGGCCTTTATTGCTCTCAGTGCCCTTCTCCAAACCCCATCTACTAGTAGCAGATGGAAACCAGTCCTGTTGGATTCAGTCTGTGCTACGCCCTTGGGATCATAGATTCCTCCTGATGCACAACTAGGAATGAGAAAGGCAGCATGCACGCACACACTTGCACACCTGAATGTGTTGCTATGGAACGATCCAACCTTCCCTACCCAAAGCAGCAAGCACTCCGGCCACCTGGGATGTGTGCAAACACGTACCAAGGAAACTTGCAGTCCTATGCTACATGAGACACCTTTGTCTGAGACTGTGCCCAAGCAAGCAATTCACCCTGTCCTCTTTTCAGAGGACTCCACCCCACAAATCAAGAAGCAGAATCAATACCACAAGGACCGTCACCCAAAACAGACTTTGCAAAGCTAAGAGCGATTCAGCAAGCGTTTCTATTTCACAAATCCCTTCATAGAGATTATTCATTGCAGGGTCATTCATTGGTGACTTGATAAATTACAAAAGAAAAGGTTGTCTTCACACTGCAAGGTTCAGCCAGCTGGGGAACGACCACTGGGCGCCTGAAAGCATCTAGGGCAGTAATTCTCAACTGGGGTTACGACGAGATCCTCTTAAGGGTGCCAGGCAATATTAGCACAGTTAGATGTGCAAACATCTGCGTATAATTCACAAGATAAACCCAGCGATTTCATTCTGAATCCTTTTCAATGTTTGCTTTGCTTTTTGCAAGGGCTCAGATCTTCGTGCTTGTAATTTGCCATGGAGAGGACTAGAAACCTTTCTATTTGGTACAAGCAGAAGCTTTTACCTGCTGCCTCCTGGTGCTTTTAGAAATGCCAGATGAAACTTGTCAAATTGCAAGAACTGGCATCTGAGGGAGGCTGGTTTTCACAGGCTGATGCAGCTGTGACCCTAGAAAGGGTCTAACAAGGCTTGGCCTGTACCTAGAATTGTTCCACTGATGTAAACTGCTAGTGCTCTGTATAGCTACTCTTAAATCAGGTCCAGATCAGTTGACCTCTTGTAGGGATGGCAGGACTGTGATGTGGTGTAAGGCTTTGTGTGCTTCTGTAGCCCTGAATTATGCAGCAGAAGCTTTGCCCCACTGAGTAACACATCTACTTCTGCTAAACTCTAGGGAAAATGCAACCAGAACTGGCTCTATTTTCCCATAGAAAAGAAACAAGTGCAAGCCAAGAGCATTTTTTTAGAGGAAACCTTACACCTGAAAAAGCTGAGAACCCATGGTTTAGGGGTTGAGGCAGAAGAGGGAGAGATCACGCCACTTTACACTTAACGGGTCCTATCCAGCTCAAGGATGACCCGGGTTACCTACCACTCACAGGTGTTGTGCGATCGATGGGATACAACCAAAAGCCTCTGCTCTCTTGTAGCTCACCCAGTGTCTAGCTTATAGTCGGTTCAAACAGGCCTCAGCAGAACAGCCAGGACAGGCTGACCTTAGCTCAGCCTTAAAACGCTACCCACGTGCATGCCAACGCACTCTGGCACGAGGCACCCAACCGAGACAGGGTACTGGTGAATCTCATTCACTGCCTATTTGCCCCATTCTGGGGAAAAAAACAGCCCGTGGCTCAGGATAAGCTTAGCCAGCTGCATGGCAGGGGATCAGTAACATTTTCCAAGCTGGCTCTCCTTCAGTTATGTCCCACCCAAAATCCCAACCTTTCAGGGATCGTTGCTTACCTCCAGACGTGCTGGGAAGGGCTCCCAGCCTCCTACGTAAGGGGGTAGGCTTCCTGCCTGGCCTAGGTGGGAAGAGGAGTGGGAACGGGATCCTGTCCTTCAAGGAGGAGTTGGCACTGGGGGGTTTCTGGGTCAGCTGGGGAAGGGAGCAAGGCAGGCACTGGCTTACACTTGCTAGGATGGGGTAGGGAGAAGAACGGGACCCAGAGGTCTGTTGATGAGGAGGTCATCAGGGTCTCTAAGCCACATGTGGGCAGCAAAAGTGAGATAGGCGGAGATGTCGGGATGATGGGAACTGCCTAGGGAGGCAGCTGTGAGGAAGGAGCTGGGGGGGCCCAAGCTCCATGAAGGCCGCTTCGAGGAGGGGGTGACGTGTGGGTGGGGAGTGGCGGCAGAGGCCTGTGGGAGAGAGGAGACTGGGGGGAGCATAGGGGCATGAGGGGAGGGTGGATGGGGTTTCTCAGGCTGCCCCAATGGGGGCCAAACCCCCTCAGGGGCTGACTGCAGTGGCTGCCTTCCCAGGCCTGCCGTGGGGGAGAGCTGGACCCGGGAGTGTGGCTGGAAACAGACAGCGCCCAGCCCGAGGAAGACAGCTTCTCGCACTACCTGGCACTTCCTGACGACACTGCCGTGATGTTCGCGTGCAGTCCCGGTAAGCAAGAGCGGGGCTTGCCCAGCACCGTGGCAGCAGGTCTCTGAAGTGCTGGTGGCCATCTTCCCCGGGCCCAGCCACTCCTCCGCTTGATCTGGGCCCTGCAGGAGTCGGCAGCTGCCCTAGTGTGAAAAGTATCTTTATTCTCTGGGTTGAGCACAAATGAAAAACTGAGAAAAAGCTCACGGCAAGCGCATAGGGGATGACAGAGTCAAGTCTCGCCCTGTGATTATGGGGAATACAGGCTCAGAGGCATTTGCGCTGGAATCGGTTACTATTGCTCTCTCCGTGGTGCCAGGGCACGCCAGCCGTGGCCCAGCGTGCTGTATAAACAGAATGGCCCCTCTCCTGGCACCATTAAGGACAGGACAAGGGTTGTGGATGGACAGAGGCCTGCAGAGAGACGCCAGGCAGCAGTGAGGCCGGGTGGGTCAGCGGTCTCAGTGCCCCACACTGTCCAGCTCCCTGCAGACGTAATAGCGAGGGGTGGAGGAGGACAAGGGGGCAGGTTGTGTGCAGGGAGCTCCTCCCAAGCCTGAGAAGCAGCACAGGAAGAAGCATGAGCCTAAAAATCCAAGGGGCAGGCAGGTGCAGGGGGTTTGCCTGACAGGCCAGATGTGGGGGAGAAGGGGGAGCCAGCGCAAGGACATGCAGAGAGAACAGGCTTGGAAAAGCATTTCACTCTCCAGCACGGTGCCCTGCAAAGAACAAACTGTCCCAAGGCCCACAGAGCACCCCCACAACACCACCCTGAGGAGACACCCACTGCTAGTCCCTGGGGTGAGCGGCCTCTAGCTTTTAGTGGGTGATGGGTGGGGGCTGCTGCTGGAGGTCTTTCTCCCCTGCTTCCCCACAGCATTCAGCTCTGCTGCAGGAGGCCACAAAACCAGCTGCACGGTCCCTCGAAGAGCTGCTTTCCAACCACATGCTGGCAGAGAGACAGAGCAAGGGCAGAGGTAGCAGCCCCAATAGCCAGCTGTTCCTGGGGATTAGTGGGAATAACCAAGGGCATGATGGGGAAATCCCTAGGGTTTTCCCCATGCACCCAGACAGCATGCAGCACGGGCCTGATCTAGAGGGAGCCCCTCCCCAAATCAGCATAGAGCCACGTAGCACTAAGCAGGTGGGTCCACTACAGTCCCATGCCCTGACCCAGGCAAGGCCCCTTCACCCGCCACTGCAGCTCCAAGCAAAGCAGGTGCCCTGGGAATTTCCACCAATGCAAGCTGACTGTGTCCTTTCTCTGCTCTCTCCAGGCTACAGTGCCTTCCTCAACCCAGCCGGGTCCATGTTCCTGCAGACCCTGCTGGAGTTCCTGGAGGGTGAGGAGAGGCACCTCGAGCTGGCGCGCCTGCTGACCCGCATTAACTGGAAGGTGGCATTCTACCACAAGGCCCGGGGGAAGTACGAAGGCAGCAAGGAGATGCCCTGCTTCGTCACCAACATGGTGCATGAGGTGTTCCCCTTCTCCCGACACGCTGCGGAGGCAGCAGGCAGCCTGTGACTGCCCTTCTGCCTCCAACACAAGGTGAACTGCAGGTCAAACAACACCCTGAGAGCAAGGACCCCAGCACCCCTGTGGTGCAAACCGGCCAGCTGTGCCAAAGCCATTTGAATAACTCTCACGTGGAAGAGGAAGAGCAGGTCTGGAAATGTGCTGATACACGCTCTGATCTTTCCAGCTGGAGACTCCAGAAAGCCTGCAGGGGAGCACTGCTGGGCTGTTCTCTGGTTGTGGCAGAGCAGAACTGATTAGATTTTCTCTGCCTGCCTACAGCATTATTTCCCTCTGCTGCTGTACCTAATCTGCAGACATCTCTATGCTGTACAGTGACAAGACACCCACGCTAACTCCAGTACCAGAAACTGCCCAGCTACCTTAGCACACACCTAAACTGTGCATCCTAATGTTGGGGGAACAGTCTCCACTAATGCTGCCTCTGGCCCCTCTTACCATGGCAGCTGACATGAATGTACCTCATCAGTACCCTCCTCTTATCTCCACATTGCAGCTGGAAAACTGAAGCAGGAAATTTGCCCAAGGTCTTGCAAGGAATCTGTAGCAGAGGAAGGAATTGAACAGAGATCCCTGGAGCTGCATCCTGAAGCACCGAGCAGGCCTTCCCCTCTCTAAGTTCAGCCTGTTGTCAGTCTGATCATATTCAGCTTGCAAAGACTGTGGAAGGATCTTGGTTTTGGGCAGGCACATAGAAAACCCCATACCCTCCACTGCTATGTGGCCGATGGCAATGGCATTCCTTCAGAAATTGCCTCGGGTTGGGGCAGGTCTATCCTAAGGCAGCATTTTAGCTGCACTCAGTTAAGGTGCAGCAATATTGCTGTTCCAACACAAAAGCTCAGACCTCTAAAATCCACTTACATGACTGGATTGGCTCACAAATCAGCAGGCTGGTCCAGAGCCCCAGGGAGATTGTATGGAGTATGTTTGGGATTGTTTGGTGCAGGCATTCCCAGGATGCAGCTAAGGTGCCTTGATCTTATGTGGTGAAGGACACAGGACAGATTTCCAGTATGGCACAGCAGAGACCCTCCCTGAGCATGCCCTGCCCTTACTCTGAACCCAGAATTGCAGTGGGACGCCACTCCAGGTTGTCCCACTTGCCTCCAGTCCCTCTGTCTGGGGTGTGCTTAACAGCTGCCAGTTTGAACATGCACATAGCAACAAGGCCAAGGGGCTCTGGGCCCTGCTAAGCTCCAGAAACCTTTGCTCCATGATAGGCTATTTGTGTTTAGCAAAAGTTTCTATGGTCACTAAGTCTGTGCCCACCCTGACTCCACAGGATTTCTCTCTGCAGCTTCACTGATGCCATCAGGAGCTGGCAGAGTGCATGGTGCGCACAGCTTGGCCATCTCAGGGCACTGCCATTGCAGCAGATGCACTCAGCAGCTATCAACACTAAAGACAGCAAGGTTCCCTTACCCGGTGCCTTCCACAGCCAAGTGCTCAGAGAAAGGAGACAGTAGCTGGCATACTTAAAACAAAGGCAGTATCTTTGGCTTTAATGTTTTATTTTAGCTTTATTTTCGCACACCATCCCTGCACTCATCCCCAGGCAGGGACAATGTCATCACCTTCCTTCCTAGGCTCCCTGCCCTCTACCATGACAGGAAGCTTTAATAAAGTTTGAACTTTGCTATCTCCAGGCTTTGTTTGCACTAGTTAAGTGAGTGGGTAGAATGGGGCAGGAGGTTGGGTCCAAGGGGAGTTGGCTTTGCGATTAGTAACAGGAAGCAGAGGATTATATGGCCATAAAAATTATACAGGGCTGAAAGGGATCTCAAATCAGGTCATGCTACCAACTGCAGCACAGACCAACGCTATCTGAACCAAACCTTACAAGCAGGAGTGGTGACATGTACAGAGCACTGCACTATACCGCCCCAGCTGTTCAGTGCCATCAGGAAGCACTGCTTTGCTATCTTTTGGACAGACAAGGCTCTTTCCAGCCTTGGTTAGACTGCCAGCTCATTAGAGGAGCCTGATTTGAATTGTATATGCCCCCAGAGAACATGCAAACAAGGAGGGATAGCCTGAGGCTCTAAACCAATGGATCTCAACTGAGGTGTTGCAGCACTGTGGGGTGCCCAGAGGCCCTCCCAGGGGTGCCACAGCAGCCACCAGGTAAAACTGCCCCATATGCTCCCCCTGCATTAGGACTCTCATCAGCAACAAAGCTACCTGGTGCCATGCATTGCCTTCCAGTCCTGTCCCTCCTGAGAACAGCTGCTGGGGGAGGGGAAACGGTCCCATCAGCTTGTGTTTCCAGAAGCATAGGTGGTGTCAGACCAAGCAGCAGAGCACAGACAACTGCAGGGGAGCAGTGCACCTGGAAGCAGCATAACCCAGCTGGAAAGCAGCAAGGTAAGTTAAGGCAGCACCAGTGGCGGTTCTCATCCAGGAATGCCACCGCCTTTGAATAGAGTGGAGCTGGATGCTGAGAGTCTGCAATGATTGCAAACCCCTGCTCCAGCCCGAGAGAGGTCAGGCTTCTGCGGGTGCAGGCAGGCAGCAGACACAAGCAGATCCCAGCAAGGGTGCACTAAACCTGAGCACAAGCTTTTCATCTGAGTTTGCAAAACCTCAACTAGTCCACCCACGGGGACCGGTTTGCTTAGCTCAGTGGTTCTCAACCAGGGTTCTTGAGAGTCTTTCAGGGGTGCTGGAGCCTGCTATGCAGGGTTAACACTGTTAGATGTGCAAACATGATTCACATGATAAATGCTGAGATTTCAAATGGGAACCCACTGTGTTAAAGCCATTCTGTCACATTGTGGGCCAAGTTCTCTGCAACAGAAGAATTGCTCTGCTGTTTCTCTGTAGTCAGAAACAGTAAAAGCAGAGCTGGCACTTTCCAAGGGGTGCGCTGTAATCCAGCAAGGCTGAGAACCGCTGGCTTACCTCTTATCTACAGCTCAGACCAAGGCTGTGAGAAGAACTGTGTAGCTGAGCTATGGGACAAAGCGCAAAACCTCGGTGAGCATATGCTTACTCCCCATCGTAACAGCCAAGGCAGCACTACAAGCGTTTACTTGTCAGCCCAATGTGTTGATGCAGCAAAGCTGTTTCCACAAAAAAAAACAAAGCTAAGGCCCATTCCTTCCTTAGGCACTCTTGCAAGTAAAAGACCAAGGTGACATGGTACCAGACAAATCTATTTAGCCCCAGTGTTTCCACGCAGCTCTAATGGATTACACTAAGTAAATAGGTGTGTGCAAGAGGTTGAGCTCTGGCATTCAAATTTTATTTAAGAAATCACCAACTAGAACAGCAGGTGATGCCTTTTGACAGGCATGCTCTGTACTCTGAAGTGCCACTCTAGTCCCCATTCCCAGCACATACTGCTCTAGTTTCTGCTCCCTGCCTGTCCCCTTCCTCATCTGCTGCCTGCCACACAAGCTTCTGGCATCACTTGTAGCACATGCTGTTGATTGGCCACCCCTGACCTACAGCATGCAGCAGTGTACAAGTGCACTACAACTAAGACTGCAACGGCATTTCCATTTTAAAGCAATTGGTTTTAAGAGGTCAGATGTGCACAGAGTGGCACAAGCATTTAGGGTGGAGCTGTGGTAAAAACGAAGCAAGTGCGTGACTTGGTTCAGGGGGTTCTCAGGGCAGAGCCTTATAAGAAAAGAGATGTGGGTTCAGAGGATGAGAACCAGCTCTGCTCGACTTCGTATCAAACCATAGACTTTTAAAATGGAGGCTGCACCTAACAAGCCCTTCACATTACTGGGAACTCAGCAGAAGATACAGGTTTTGCATAATAAAAGGCTTCAAAACCACTGCACAAGAAATTCACAATCACTTGGTGTTAAAGATAGGTAGGAAATACCTTGTCAGCAACCTCTAGCCAAGCACTCAAACACACAAACCCAGCCAAGCTTATTGCTATACTATTTTAAAAGAGAGGCAGGCAGCAAACCACAAGGTCAAATCACATTTCTTTATTGGATCCATTCATTGATTTCACCACATGGGGCAGGGGGGTTACAAAGGAATATAAAATTCTGATTTTTCAAAGCAAAACTGACTTTGCAGCAGAAACCAAACAAGTCATTGGTTCAACCCAGGAAGGTCACTGGCCTAACATTGTGGTACCTTTCTTGCCAAACACTTATCTCCAGCAGACACTGTTACAAAGCTGCATCATAGGAATATCCAATATACCTCTTTGATATTTGTGGACCATCTCATCTTACATAGGACAGCATTAACATAAAGATCAACACAACATGGAAATCATTCCAAGATCCCAATTATAGTGACAGCCACTGAAAGTCTTGCACACTTCAGACTTTAGATAGGAGCATTACAATTCAGCCTCACCAGCGGTTCTTTCCATTTACATGTTACACGACAGCACTGCAGTTGAACAGTTGCTTTCACAGGCGTGAAGTAGTGAGGCCAGAGATCCATATTTCAAGGGGTCGTGAATAAGCCAGGTGATGCCCTTACCACCCTGTGAAGTTTGCATTCATTGTACCGTGTGCATTTCTGTTCATTGGACTTTGTGCTCATCACATGGCAAGCTACTCTTTGAGACAGCCCCATGTATTAAAATCAGACCAACAGGAGAAGGAAAAAGGAAAAATATCCCTGTATTTTAATTCTTTAAAGAATTTAAATCTTTGCACCTACCAGATTATATCACAGGCAGTGCCCAAGCAGAAGTGAGAGACTGAGCTTGTCTCCCTGGGGACTCCTGAGTAGCCAGGTTCTGTGGTATTGAGCTTCCCCAAGCAAACTAGGAAGTTTCTTTTTAATTCAAGTCAGTGAAGAGACAGAGGTTGAGGAGGCCTCAGATTTCCCCAACAAACTGGTTTGGTTCAAGTCCTTCTAAAACATTTCCCAATTGAAAACTGCAACAGAAACAAGAAGGGGAGGAAAATCCAAAGCCACCTCCCCACCCCCCAGGATTCCCAAGAAAGCTGGGAAATGGGATCCAAACTGTGAAATTTATCACATCCTCCAAGAGTTCTTGAGTATAAATAGAAATTCAAGCATTGCCCCTAACTCTGCCTCATTGACCGAAGTGGGTGGTGGGCACAGCTTCCAGCCATCTGCCTCAGATGTGCCATGCACTACCTTTGCAATAGCTACCAGGAGTGTTGTATGCACGCAAGCTCTCCTCCGTGGAGATGCCATGCTTCCTTCTGAAGTTCCATTCTAGGACCTGGCTTTCCTGCCCTGCCCCAGTGACGTCTTCTCATCTCAGAACTCAGAAACCGAAAGCAACCTTCACTGGGGCACCTTTCACATGCATTTTAAAACAAGAGGGATTCTCACCCCCTATTGTGTGAAGGTGTTTTCAGCAACAGAAAGTAGCTTGTAAAGAGATATAAACTGAAGTCTGGCATTTCCCTTTTTTGTGGGTTGAAACCTCATCTGCACAAGGAGATCACCAAGTACTCCTACATCTACTGACCTAGATCTGCAGGAGGGAAGAGCTGACAACACAGAAAGTGGCTTCACAAGCTGCCTTTGGCTCAAGTCAAGTGAAAATAACATAAGCGGGATGAGATTCTTCCTGTGCTTCCATTAGTTGAAGAGTGTATGGAGTGAGGATGCAGTTGGCATCTATTCTAGGAGTGGCTGTTTACTCAGACTTCTCCTGTACAAGCTACTGTAATGGTTTCTGCATGTGAGCAAAGCAAGGTGTGCCACCCAACCTCACTAGCCAGCTATCCTGCTCCCATACAGGCTTTCCAAACACACTATGTCCTTTGGAAGATAATAACCCGTCCCCATACTTCACAATAGTATATCAGTGATGCCAGCTTGTACCAGCCCTGGGTTTCCACAAGCAATAAGTCTACGTGGTCCACAGTGTCAAGGAAATCAGCTCTGCATGGACCAGACTGTTTTAAGACACATTCAGCTAAAAACAAAGTGAAGAGAGGCTGGAGCAAAAGCAAGGGGAAGGGGAGACCTTCTGTCAACCTGATGGCTGGAAGTGATCCTATCAGCTAATCCCTTTTTCCTCTATTGCCCACCCACTTGGAAGGAAATCCTTCTGCACTAGCCAGGATGCCCTCCCATTTATTCTGAATAAATCAGCTGTGCAATGAGTGACACCAAATTTGCCAAGTCTATGGCAGAGCAGGCAGGGTAGGGCACCTCTGGCTGCATCATATGACATACTGCAGCAACCAACGGTTCAGTCACTTGTGTACGCAAGTATACTACTTGCATACATAAAATGCATGTGCAATGCACCCATGGTCAGCAGCCATCCACCACCCCCATCCTCCCAACTTCTGTTCTGTGCTTGAATGGAGAAACACTGAAAGCTAGACTCTGCACGCAGACATTCAATCACACCAATCTCACTAGGCTGAGCTTTGATCAATAGGAGTCCACCCAGTGCCAACTAAAACAAACTAGGCTGGAAATTCAGGGCTCGGACTCCACTCTTTCAGGAAAGGCATATCAGCTACTTGCCAGCACTGAAGCTACTTGAGTCCACCTAACCCTTACATTCAAGTGACATTTCAGAGGCAGGCATTGACATGCAGAGACAAAGCCGAGTAAAACCTTGCTAAGGAGATTTGGCACCAAGCTATGCATGCATCCGTGGCATTCCCTAACCACATCCCACCTCAATGCTTTATCTTCAGTGCAGTCTCCTGAGCTTTGGGGAG